TATACAAAAAACTACTAGATTACATTTTAACATGTTGGACGTTATGTCCACCACAATGGCAACAGTCAACGAATGATTGTGACTACTCCATTAAAGATTACAGTCGTGAGCATTATTATTTTATTTAATATAAAAAAGACTTGGCCTGATTCTTTATAATTAAGTAAGAATTTATTAGCACGCACTAAATAATAAACACATTTTAAAAGAAAGTTCTTTAAAAATGCAATCTTATAGCTAAAAGCAATGTCTTACAGACAATGTTTTTAGATGTGTATATATAAACAAATTAGGTAAGTTTACTTAATTGTAATAAATTTTGCGACACTCAGTGCTGAGTCATAACGATGGTCAACAAAAGAATCTTAAAAAAGAAAAAAAGTCTAATGAAAATCCTAACGTAAGTTATTAATACATTTGCTTTTAAAAGGAACCCTTGTTTTATTATACAGATATAAATCCACTTAAGACGAAGATAAAGTAAAATCGAATTATGTCTTTCATTATTGAATAATATGCGGCGTTTTAATTTATGTCAGTAGTGGTTTAAGTGATGTGGGATTTGTAATATAATGAAATGTTTTAATTAAATCATCGATAAAACTATTAATTTCAGCTAAATGGGAAACAAGCTGACAGAACACCTTACAGGAAGTGGCAACTGTGATCGTTTATAGGCAAGAACCATTAGCTTTAATGAACATGACATCTATGTTATTCGCTATGCTTTGACATTCCAAAACACTAAGTCCCAAAGTGGAATAGTTACCCTCTCTTGTGTTATTAATTCAAACAAATACCATAAGTAAGATTATTTATTCATAAAGTTTTGCTTAGCGGCAGTAATGCGAATAGAATTACTAAAATTCAAAATTGTTAAACTAAGAATTTGATATCTGAATCTTGAAATATTTATCTAATATTTTATTGAATATTTACATTGAAATATAACCCTTTTACACTATTCGCTTATTAATCGAAAGAAATACGCCCCGTTATAAGCTTCAATTTTTTTAACAAATTTGCAAGGCGCTTAGGAATTTCGGGTCAGAAATGTAGGTACTTACATAAGCAAAAAATGTAATCTCTCCTTTATTATATTTCCTTCGTAAACATTCAAGTGGTTCTCTCAGCAAACTCACTACATGCTTCACTGATTTTTTTCATAATACCATCCCTTTGAATATATTTTGTCGTAATAGGTATGAGTATTAATACTTATATTTCATTCTATAATATTTATAACGGTTTATAAAAACTTTGCTGTATACTGCGACATTGCCCGCGTAAAAGATAAAAAGTCTGTCAATCTAAAATAAACCATGTATGTGTGTGTTAAATTTCATTAAAATGGGTTGAGCTGTTTGAGCATAATTAACAAACATTTAAATATCCATAATTACAATTATTTTTACATTTTTTCTTATTTACCATATTGTTTTTCTTTATCTACAGAATACCTAATAACCTTAAAACATATATTTTCCTCTCTTTAAACTTATAGACAGCGCATAGTTTTAACCGTTGAGTCTAGAAGCATGAAATTTTTCATAGGAGCTCATAACGTAGGATTCCCCGGAATTTTCATGAGATCGGAATATAATAGATTCACGCAGGTGGAACCACGGGCAATAGCTACTATAAAAATGGTAAAATAATAGCAATTTTTTTACCTTAATACGTACGGATTAATTATGGAATTTTACATAAAAAAAATACACTATGTGAATTTTCTATACATATATGCCTAAACAGGTAGAAGTATTTAACTCAATTAAGATTTAATTCTTATATAATACCACTGCAAAAATACTCGTACATAACATCTGTAACAACATAATATTACATACAAAGTACTATTACATATAATTTATGGGTAGTATTAAGTAATCATTTGAGTACGGCCTGGAAAATTTATTACATTTAATTAACCATCTTTCTCTCTACGTATATTCGCTAAAACATTTGTAATATTTGGCTAATAATATATTTAAATATGCATTGAGATAGAAACTTACCATTAAAATCCTATTTACTCCAGAAATAAAGTTATTTGAAATTTGTGAAGCAACCACAGATAGAGCGATTTTTTTTTACCCGAGTTTTATTTTTATTCTTTGCAAATTAATATTTTATAAACAGATATAGCGATAATGCCAGCATGCATTATAATATAATATGAGATAAATAAAACAAAATAATCATTAATTATGACCTTAAAAGACCAATTCTCATAATCAGCACCATTCACATATGAGTTCAAAGGTATTCTTTTGTAACTCATTAAATTCTCAAATAATCAAAATCATCCAATCATGACGATGATATTGATTTAGTTTATATAGAAATGAAAAAATATTTTTAAATTAAATGACATTGTAATGATATACAGAAATGGTGAGTGATTCATCAGTTTAATGATTCATTCAGAAACCCATACTTAATAATCCCTGCCAAGTGCGTGACGAGTCACGTAAAGAGTAGGGTTCCATGCAATGCCAATTATTAAAATGTTTCCAACAATAGCTATACCAAAAGAACCAACGAACCAAATTACTGATATTCCTTAAAGTTTTATCATTAATACAAGTATAGTATTATATTATCTGTGTCAATACTAACTGATATAACCTTGAATCATAATCAACAATAACTAATATAATAAGTTTTTATCCGATAAGAAACTCAAAAATGTATGAGATTATTAAAATTAAATATTTTAGTTGAATCAACCGTATAACTGTGATTGAATAAAAAAATATCCAAAAACATCTCTAGAAATTTGTACATTTACTAATGGGCACGCCAGGTTCCGCGGCTGAGTTAAATTAGAATACAACATACGCGAGTACCAAATTTCAATCAAAACTCTCAATCAATCGAAGCATCGAATCATTTTAGAAACGTATAAATTAATAATATTAATGGGTAAGATTACTCATAATATATACGTAATATATATTAGCTAAAAGGTATAAATATTGTAAATATATTAATATTTATTAAAATGACCAAAAGCTTGGGATACGCGCCTGAGGGCTCCTCATAAGAACCGCAACTCGTATTTTATGCAAAATCCAACAAAAAAAAAAAGAAATAAAACAAGTCTCGGGGAATTCACAATATAAAATACCTATTGTTTCGTCAGACTTTTCATTCGGTAGGAATGTCGATAAACTTACAGGAGGATATAACGGTATTCGGCGCGACAAGTTTTATAGGACATTATAGTCATCTATGAGAGAATGATGTTTATGACATCAAGTCTAAAAATACTTTAGTATATTACTTAAAAGAAGTTTCAATAATTTCTACGGTGTGGGTTTTAAAAAGATTTCAACTAAACACATATTAAAATTTATTTTCAGGATTAAATACGACGCGATTCGTATAAAAAAATATTAAAAATGCTTGATAAAATCTGGTATAAATTATACTCACAATGACATCGCAGTAAGTCTCACTAATAAATTTAAATATGGAAAAAATGCAAAAGTTTAAAACTATATAAGTATTTCATGCATTTATATCGTTGTACAGTAACTCAGCTATAATGATGATGATGATGATTATGTCAAATAATTTAACGCTGTCAGTTCTTTCGATTTAACCGCAAATATTAAGTTTCTTTCTAGAATTCACTAAATTTCCGCGTAGTGACGAACTAAGAATATAATATATCAATACTTCTTTTCATTCTCAAGATATCGTAAAAGACAACCTTTTCTGGTTACCTTTTGAAAAGAATGTTAATAGATATAGATTACATAGTATATATATAGAGTGATAATAGAAGGCTAACATACTTTATGATACTGCAGTTTAACACTACACGAATCACGCTCTTATGGTCACATGTTCAAACCCTTAAGAATATAAACCATCTTCTTCTATAGATGCCATCTTCTACCCGAGGTTAATGATCAATATGGGGATCTTAATTTTGTTTACCGCTATCCTAAAAACGGACCTGGTGCTCATCCCAAACTACTACTTTAGACTTTTGAACCGAGAAGTCCGGCGTTTATTTGGTTTTCAACAAGCCCAAGTCTTTCCCATATACAAACTACACTAAATAATTATCTATCTCTCTCTTTACCTAACTTTTTTATTCCCTTTTCACTTAGGTTCCGTTCTCTTCATCATCTTTCACAGCTTGCTCAAATAATCTAAAGAGGTAAGGTTACTATTGATGACGCACTGCCAAGTCACTAGAAGTGACAAGTCAAAGAGAGACAAAGTAAAACCAGTAGAGGAACGATAATAGACTGTAATGATATTGATTAAGCACACAACTATTAACTAAAATCATTCTAATAATACTAACATCCGAAATCAGATCTAAATTGTAGTGACTCAGTGCATCGGCTCATTGCAACGGACAGTCCTTCTAATACCAATTATATAAATTTACAAGTCCACTTATGGTAACTTACTAAAGAAGTGATCAAATAAACATAACCCACGCCTACACTTTTTATGAATGATTTGGAACACCGTACACAAAATCTATGAGATCCTATTATAGCCATTTTGGATAAGTATTTATTTAAATTACTATTAATAATACATACTTACTTATATAATACTATAACAACCCATTAACATCCCACTACTGGGCACGGATCTTTTCTCATAAAACGTGGTTACTCATTATTGGACTACTCCAGTGTCCAGTGTTGAACCACAGTGGTCATGGTTAAGTGGTTTGATATAGTGTTTTATTTCGAATTTTCATTTTCTAATAATGATGTATATGCTGTCTTGTTTTAGTTACCTTTTACAACATTTTAAAAATAAAAACTGGTAATGTATGTGGAAATGTATATTATAAATATTTTAATTTCTTTTTTTTTTTATATATGTAATAGGTGATAGTGAGCACTTCTAGTAACTAATATTGTCCATTGACTAGTACGTTACTACTAGACAAACATAATAGCAAACAAGTTTATAATTTTCCTTTTCTTTTTCTTAATTCCCTAAAATGAAATACGTACATCATTTCAGTGCGAGGTCATTGAAACACGGCGCGGATGCGCGGAGATGCGCGCGCGCAAGGACACAGGATATTTTCCTATAAAATGTGGGGCGACACCTTGCGGCTACAGTATCTAAAGAGGCACCACCACGGAAGGACATCACGATGAGACTGGTGAGTCCTTGGCATTGAAATTTTGTGCAAGTGAAAAAGTGATAAAATAATATTTTTAGTTTATCCCAATCATAGTGATAGTAAATTGTGAAAAAAAAATTAGTTACACAGCTTATAAAAATATTAAATTGTAAAAGAAAATAGAACAAAAAATATAATGATTTTTTTAATATACATGAAAAAATGTATCATTATAAGAAATCTTTACTACTTAAATTTTAAAATTTAGTAGTTTTAATTGTTCTGATGGAAAATATTGAGTATTGTGGGATTTATTTAAATTAGGCACATTGTGAGAAAAAAAAAATACCTAATATACTTGCAATTAGAATACAATGGAAATTATTTTAAATTTATCTTTGGAAACTCTTAATACGTTACATATTAATTACAATGTATATAATACACTTATACTAATGAACTTATTTCAGAAACAAGAATATATTATTATTTATATACTATTCATCCATTTCCACAGATGAGATATGCTCTCTTCTTGCTTCTTTCATTTAGATGTTAACATAATCAATAGATATAAAGATAAAGATAAAAAATAATCATTAAACTATTATCCAATAATAGATAATGACCGCAATCAGTATTTTTTCGTATCTTTAGAAAAAACGTTTAATTTTAAAAAAATTAACAAACAATTACTGTATTTTATAAATAAATATATTTTTATATTATCCAAACTTCAAAGCAATAATTTCTTTACAGCTGTGTATTTTCGCCGCCATTCTGGCCTTCTCTTTGGGCGAAGAATCTGCTACAACTAAACCATTAGAAGACTTAGAAGCTGTCGCTACAGTTGAACTTCTGAAAGAAAACCACGATGTCCTCCAGCCAGCAGCGAGCAGTTATACTACCCCTAGAGAAAAAAAATGGACGAACTTAAAGAGCAATAATCCTAATTATTATCCTCAGAACAACTATGTTTCTCAAAGTAACTACGTTCCTCCCCAAAATAACTATGTCCCCCCACAGAATAGCTATATCCCTCCACAAAATAATTACGTACCTCCTCAGAATAATTACATCCCTCCTCAAAACGACTATGTGCCGCCACAAAATAATTACGTTCCGCCCCAAAACACATATGTACCCCCTCAAAATACATATGTCCCCCCTCAGAATACATATGTCCCTCCTCAAAATAACTACGTTCCCCCTCAAAACACCTACGTACCTCCACAAAACAACTACGTCCCTCCCCAAAATAATTATGTTCCACCCAACAACAACTGGTACAATCCTCAACAACAGACTTCTTCTACGACGACTCCTAGTTCGCTGATCAAAAACGACATTACATATGGTGACAACGGCAGTTACAAATATGAGTAAGTACAGTAAAATATTATTCTAACAAGTCATTTGAGACATAATTAGTACTGAGTTACTGTACTAATTATGTCTCTAGCACCGAGTAGCTAAGCTTGTATGACTGCGTGTCAGTTTAAAGGGTGGTGGAAAAAGTATTAAGTCGTTATTTTTTATGTTTTATCTTAACAACGAAACCACGACTCACGTATGTTGGTTGGGCATTAAAATTTATATTAAAAAAATATTTTTATTTAAATACCTAATTTTAAAATTAAACTTCCTGCCAACATTTATTACTATAATAATATATTTGCAAGAATATATAGTCATAAATGCATATAAATAATAATTGCATTAAATAACAATAAAAAAATTTGATAAATAGGTCTTTCAATATTAAAATTAATAAAAATATCTTAATCATCAAAAAAAAACGGTAAAACTAAGTAACAAGTAATTTAAATAATATTATACAATTGATAACACTACCTACATAATAAAAATAGTAAATTATTTACTCTTATGTCAAAACTAACACTTAAAGTTCTCAGAATAAACTTGTGCTCGATTAATGTAAAAAGAAAGATCAGCAAACAAGATAATATAATCTTACAGACAAAAAAAAATTAGTAAAGGCACACGCCTCGACACTGTGTCAGCTAAAATACTATAGTCAAAGTAACAAATATTTAAAAACAATTGACATAAGAAAATGTAAGTTTAAATAATATGGTTAAAAGAAACGAGTCACTAACGGTCATACCATCGTACAAGTTGAATATTATTTGACATCAGAAACGAGTTATTTTTATAGTAAATAACGGTATCGACTAAATGAATTGAATTTTATATATAAAAAAAATATGTAAATATAATAGGACGAAAATATTTATGAGTATTCCTACTATTCGATTGGCGTCTTTGTTACGAACATATCAAGTTTGAGAAGTGATAAAAAATTACAATTCTGATTTTTAAATTTACTATTAATGCTAGTATAAATTTCAGTGTAAAAAATATTATAGCATGTTACTGTTTTAATGTAACATTTCTTTATATATATATATATATATATATATTATATATATATATATATATATATATATATATATATATATATATATATATATATATATATATATATATATATATATATATATATATATATATATATATATATATATATATATATATATATATATATATATATAATAAATTTAAATAGAACAAACGTTTACCGTAACCTTTTTTTATTACCAGTCGAAGTGTTCGCTTGTTTATATATTCTGTATTGCACTTGTAAGTTACATATAAAATAATGTATTATTTTATAGGTAACTTACAATATTACTATTATTGTTTATATGTTCTCAACTATTTACGTAACTACTATTAAATAGAAATTAAATGGCTGGATCGATTTTGACAAAACGAAATTCTATTAAATTCATTTTGATTGCTACAGCTTCTAGGGCACACAATGTCAGATTCCCTAAAATAAAAATAAAAAACAACATGTTTTCTCGCTCTCTAAAGTTGCTCTAAAACTTGTTTGTTTTAAAAAAAATTACGATCGAGTTCTTTTAACTCTATCACATCAACTTGTTATGAATCGAAGTTTTGAAAAGATCGATGTAAACATTTAAATTTATGCATATAAAGTAGCATGTTATGCTAAATAATGAACTTACAAGAAAATTTTAACTAACAGCAATTTATTTTCTACCGATTATAGTTTCTCTCTGTGATTTTTTTTTCCTTTTATATTTTTATTTCCATTGCGATTTACGACTTCTGTTCATTTTTTAAATATTCATGAGATGGAATCAAATTTATTTTAATTGATTTTAACTATACATATAGTTTAGTTTTTTCTGTCTGATGTCAAATACGAGAAGTATTTAAATCTTCCGACTAACATGATGGAAAATACCGTTAAACAAAAATATCTGACTAACTGCAATACCGCCCCTACGTTGGATTCTAACATGCTCGGCAAAATGGCAATATGTTAAATATTACATCCACCATAAACAGACAATCATCCTCGACAATTAACACTTTTTCTTATCTCATCAAAAATAACTGTCATGAACGAATGAATATTTTTATACCCATTTTCTACTTGCAAAGGTACGAAATTGCTGACGGGACGTACGCTTCCGAAGAAGGATACTCCATTAACCCGAATACAGAAAATGAGAGCATTGTAAAAATTGGCAAGTACAGCTATCCAGGACCTGATGGGAAAGTCTACACGGTCACATACTGGGCTGACCATACTGGCTTCCACGCGACCGGTGACCACATACCTACACCACCACCGATTCCGCCCGCAATCCAAGCGTAAGTAATTACTAAATATTTGTAAGCAAAAATAATATCGAACTAGAAATACTGCTGAAATATAAAATTCATATTCCAATAATTAATACTAAGACAATGGTTATTTATATTATTATAACAATTTGCAATTTGTAATTACCAAATGTCTAGTCTATAGAATCTTAAATGGAATTGGGACTTCATTAACGAGACCTACATTAACACCTACGAATATGAAATTTATGTTGACATTAATTAATTGTTTTTACTATACCATAACAACCCACAATTAAAATCCCACTACTGGGCATATGTATATCATTTTTAGAGCAACATAATAAATCGTGCTCTAACAAGGAGTCTAATGCAGTATGAAAAAAACATTTTGCTCAGCAAAAAAAAGGCTCTGAACAGTGAAAACATGCTCAATGCATCAATGATAGATAAGGTTTTAGTAAACACATTAGATTAATTTTTTTAATTTAGGTGCGGAATAGTGTTTTTACATCTAGATTTTGTAAGCAGTTTATAACTCTGCAAAGAAAAACAGCAACATATGATCAACATAAGAGTCTTAGATTATGAAGTATTAGTTTATATTAAGTCTATATAATTAAATTCTATCGATTGCAAAAACAATTGTCAAATTGGCGACGTAAACACGTAATATCGTTAAAAAAATCTAACGAACTGAATATCTCTTTCTTTTGGAAGTGTCCTAAAAAGTATTTTGATTTACTAACGCGTATGATACTATATACTATAGAAATAAAAGGATATGTGATAAATAATAAGTACATATATAGACTATTCATTCTTTAAGGGCATAACAAGGATATATTTGCAGTTTACTTATTGAATATTTTAAAATTTCTATAGCTTACGAGGACGTCACGCCTGTTCTGTGATCATCTTACCTTACTAATATAATAAAATTGTAACTAAACGATGTCTGTGCTTGAAAGATATTAAAAAAAATAAGACTATTCATTAGAGAGATAAGATAAAAAGATGCGAAAACAATAGTTTTTAGAAATTCTGTCTGTCTTATCGTATATTTATTCCATCAAAAACCTCTACACCAAGTTGAATGCGATTTTCACAGTACTCTCGAAGGCCTAACTCAAAAACTGGTTTATATTTTATCTTGTACGACTTTTAAAAATGGTCCAATTGATTACTTTTGCTGCTTTTTAAATTCACGCGTACGAAGTAGCGGACAAAAAGCTATACTCGTACGTACTAAAATGACTTTTGTTTTAAAACCCATGTACAACAGTATATTTTTTTCAAAAATATATTTACATTAGAACTAGTTATAACCTTACGGCTATAACCTGCGTGAATTTGTATAAAGTATCATAAAATCACGGCAATGCATAGTCTCCCATTGCTTTTTCGTGGATGTCGTAAGAGGTGAGCAAGGGTACGTTATAGTCGAGGGATGGACCGCAGCGTCCCTCCTAAAACATCACCAAAGTAATTACTGGCAAATCCCCCTAATGGGGGAAGGCCTATGTTCAACAGTGAACAGTTAACAGCTGCCATGTTAATGATGATGATCTTATATGCATACTTTGATTAACATCAAGCATTTAATAAATCTGAGTATCAGTCAATAGCAATAATTGACTACCTAACATGTTTCTCTTTAAACTTTCATATTTTTAATAGCAAGCCTGTCTAAGCAATTGTATCCACGTGGATGAGATGAAGAGTAATTAGTGTATATTCATCTCCATGCTAAATACTACTATATTATTATTATACTAAATTTCATGATGACTACTGACTGAACTGTACTAGATAAACTATTAAATAAACTATTTTTCGCATTTGTAGTATCAATAAGAATAATAGTACAATTAAAGCAAAGTTATATATTGGACGGTTGACCAACTTTACGTGACCGGGGTCTATTACCAAGGGATAAACTCCTTGTGCATCTTTATCAAATATCTCATTTTTGTGGAAAATATGTTGTATGCGATGGTTTATTATTCTTTTCACTATATTTTATTAAGTAGGAGGACGAGTCTGTAAGTTATGGACCAAAGTTATTTGTAGTAGTACCCGAAACAAATGGCTTTACTGTTTATAATGAAATAACAAAAGTAACGCTTTAGATTTTCTTGAAGAAAATGTCTCGACAATTAAGTCCAGATAAATTAATTAAGAATGAGGGTGGCGGCCTATTTCTGTCTGAACATAGAAGTTATGCTTCGTGTTTCAAATTTTGTGCTACTCTATGTATAACAATTATTAAAAACTAAAAATTTTATATATAAAGTTTTTTTTTTCTCTAAAATTATAGTATTATTAGCAAATAAATAAATGGTTGGGTCTAGAAACATGAATTCTTTCACAAGGATTTCTTATGTTATTTTTTTCTTTGTTTATTTGGCATAGAGAAATATCGAGTTCTATACACGCTAACTCATATTATACTATACGTACAAAAAAAAATTAAATACCACAGGTACGTACGATTTTTAAAATAAAATTTGTGAACTCTACTGTTAGAGCACACTTAAAAAATTAAGCTGTTCCTTTTTTAGTACCTACTTGTAGTCAATTCTAATACCTATTATTACGAATTAAACTGATCACTTGAAACGTACTCCACGCCTATTTGAGGTAACCGACGTTTAATTAGCATATACTGAATTGATTGTAGGTTGGAAAGGTCATACAATATAAAAACATTAAATTCAACGGTGTGTGAATCTTCGCGAATTAGTGACTTCATTGTGTCAAACTTAAAATATGTGACATACATAATATAAAGTAGTATAATAACTAGATTCCATTCACAATAAAATTATATAGGTAGTTAGTTATTAAAAAAACAAATAATATTAACTGTTTGATTATTAGTTTCTTTTTTTTATAATAACATTTTAAAGCAATCCAAAAGGAAGAAATATTCAATACAATGAATATTTTGAAGGTTTTGTCAATGTAAAAATGCATATCCCGAAAAAACTTATGCCGAGTCGCATAGCCAGAACAATACAAGTACCTAGTAGTATGCTTATATCCTTTCTTATAAGAATAACCCAAAGTATTGGGTTTTTGGTTACGTCGTTACATTAGCGGGACAAAAATGAGTTATTAATTATGATATAAATAATAAATGCATTGTTTTTTTATATTACTAATATAATAAAATTGTAAACAGACGATGTCTATTCTAAGAAATCATATGAGAGTTCTTATATATATATATAAGATCAATAGACATCTAAACAATAATATTTAAAAATTTTATATATCTGTCTGTCTGTATGTTTGTTTCAATCTGGATTCGATTCTCATAATTGTAATCCCGTCTAACTTAAATACTAATTTATGTTTTATCTTTATAACCCACCTAATAGTGGTATATTTCATTAGCTATTCTGCTTTTAAAATCTACGCGAAGTAACGGGCAAAAAGCTAATCACAGTAAATATAAGAACCGGAAACTTTACGAGTACGCATAATACGTACGAGTACCTACTGCTTATATACATCAGTTTTTATGAAACCTTCATTCTTATCTAGGCCATGAAATCCACATTTACGGCAACTTATCGTTCAGCTGCGGCATTATACCAACGAAATATGATATGATCCGTCTTCCCCCAACACTATTAATAAAATCAATAAATTATATATAAACATTAATATGTTGCCTATTAGTCCTTAACAATGGCTTAGTAAATTTTTTTGTAAACTTCTCTCGCACTGATGTACTGTTTGTTTTCTTGGTTGCCTTTTCTTTTCAATCGACATCAAAAAAAGAGTAGGTTCTCAATTCGGTTGTATTTTTTTTTTTGTTATGTTTATTTATTCGCATTTTGTTTATAGGTCCATCGAACAAAATGCTAAGGAAGAAGCGGCCAGAGCTGAAGCCGAAAAGAACAAACCACAACAAACTTATTATCCCAGTCAAACTGTAAAACCCCAGCAAACATATTACCCCCCACAACAAACCTACTATCCTCCACAACAGACTTATTATCCTCCGCAACAAACTTATTATCCTCAACAACAAAATCCAAGTTACGGCAAATAGACTTATAAAATAATTTAGTATAGTCTACAATTACGACAAATATGAAAATCCGATATTCCGAACAGTAAATGTCGAAAGTAATGAATCTTTAAGAAATTATCTAAATTTCTTATTGCCAATTTATTACTTTTCGTAAATAAATTTTAAATTTAATGAATACAAAATTTATTGTATACAAAAAGACATCTTTTATCCACTATCTTTACCTCGGAATAAATTTCGAAGAATCACTAATTATAGCAGTGATTTGATTCACGATTTCTATTGTGAATTTGATTACTGCTAATAAGAAAGGTTGTGATATTGTTAAGAGTGTTCAAAGCCAAGTGATAATGTATTAATAAATATAATTTGTGATAACAATTAAATGTTTTTTATTTTATACATACCTCCTTACTCAAGTTCTATTTAAGTAGGTTACCTTACCTGAAAAAGGAACATAAATGAAAACATATTAATAATCAGACAAACATAGTTCATGTCCATAACCAATTGTTACCATTTTGCATGTGATGTATCGTCAGCTTGTTAGCCATTCAATGTCGCATAAAAAATAAACAGTGTAACTTTATAGGCAAATATTCAATATTTTTACCTTTATTATTTTTGTTTGTTTATAGTATGAACATCAGGAACTATAGATTGATACCTTATTATATATGCTATTATAAAGCCGTACAGTATAAATGTAATATTGTATAATAGTTAGTAAGTAAGTATTAAAATAAAAAGGACAAAAAGTGCAACATACAATACAAACAGTATTGGATTATAAATAAACCAAATAATTTTTTTTCTAACTAGAAATAACCATATATTATGTATACCATTCTAATAAAAAAAAATAGACTACTTTATTTTTAGTAATGTTTAACATTTTATTTATATTTTCAATCTTTTTATTCACTTATAAGAATATCAACAGCGTATTATTATATAATTTTACTACATTAATCTTATATATTAAATGTTATATCAATTAAAAATATTCATGATGACAACGTTAGTAAGTTAAATAACAAGTATATTACAGAAAAAATACACTCAATGACGATCAATAGTATTAAAGCAGACCAGAAAACAATAACTCAGCTATCAGTATTAATATAATTTTATATTGATATTAACTATATTCTACTAGTTATACGGATCAGAAAAGAGCATGTATGTTAATCTGGTTTATTATTATTATCTACCTATTTTGTTTAAACCCATCCAATTGATCTCAATCGTGTGATTAAGTAAAAAATATCCAATATTTAAAGAACCAAAAACTGTATACTCTGTTATGTCCATGGTATGCTGCTCATGTCTATATACGACGGTTACCACTTTCCATCAAGTGGGCCGTCAGTTTGTTTGCCATTCTAAATTGCATAATAAGAAATAATAAATTTTAAAATAAAGAACACAACGACACATATAACAAACTCAAAAAAAATATATAAACGCTTCTCAGGGTCTAAGGGCGTAACCCAAAAACCATGGTAACCGGTCGCTCCGGCCATTGACATTGACCACACATACTACACACCCATTGCTGATCTTGTATCATTTTGCAACACATTTTATGCTTGTGTGATCATTTATCGAACACTGCACTTTAGATATAAAAAAATTAAAAAATGGAAAAGTACCTAACGTCACCGGTCATCGTTACAATATTCTTACTTGCTTGCACGTTTATGTTCATTACTTCGTATAAATTTATATAATGTATGATTATTACATTAGATCCAAATTAATTAAAAATAATTATATTTTGAGTAACATCAAATGTTATGTACTCAATATACAGGTTTTCTCCCATATTAATTTTGTGATGATAGAAACTGCTTATTTGTTTATAGAAGAAAATCTGTACGTAGACAAAAGTCGTGTTCCAAATTTAAAATTGTTCAATCTATTTGTAATCTACGAAACAAATCGTCGTTCATCAGTTTGTAAATTTACGCAATTTTTAATAGAGCAAAATGTACTTGTCGCCCAGATATTTAAAAGTAACATGACAAATGAGCCTACTGTCATTACTCGGTTAAATTTGAATGGTTATCGGTGTGTTTTCATCATAATTAAAGTATTTAAACATTTCACATGATACACAAACTAATAGAAGAAGATTACATTTATTATTAACAAATAAGTGCATACCACAATTGTAAAATGTCTTTTTGCAATACAAACAGACATTTTACATTTTGTTTTACATGACAACGCCCACAACAATACAGTACGAAATACCTATTACTTATTGTATTACGAATCTTACCGAGAAAACGACATAAAAACTACTACAACGAGAAGAGAAACCTAGTTAAAAACTAAACGATATCTTTCACGAATGCCTGGACACGATGATCTTGCGTGCGTATAAATATATGCGGAATTCATTTTCATTCTCAGTTTATTTTCTACTAGTATTACAGTGTGACGTTCAAGTGTTTTTATTTGTGTTTTTAAATCAGCTTCAAAATGAAGCTGGTAAGTGCTTGTGATGTTATGATCCTTTCTGTGCTTTAAATGGATTTTTACAATATCAATCTAATTTTCAGGTAACAAAAATAATACTGATATTATGGTTTGTAACGACAGGATTAACTGACGAAGAATTTGTATTCCCTCCTAAATTTTCAAAACCGAATTCGCCTGTATTTACATCTGACAGTTCTCTATATTTACCCCCAGAAGCTCACACTCCGTTACCATACTTCCCTATCAAAAATTCAGTAAACCTACCTTTTCCCTACTTACCTCCTACACGCACAAAAGCACCTCCTATATACCCGTCACCTTTTCCTATCATGATGTCTACAACTTTCATTCCAAATTATGAGAATGATGGAAGAGAAAATGATGAAAGCGAAAACAAAGAGTCAAGATCTACACCCAAAACATTATATCAACATAATCGCGAACGTAACAGAACTGAAAACTATCCAGAGTCTCAAATAGCAAAACGAGATATAAGGTCAAATTATCAACATCCTATTGATAGAGTAGATGTAAGATTACCTATGGGATTCTCCACACCAAACCCTATAAATCAGAAACCAACTGCCAGATCAATGATAATAGATCAACGAAATGACCTTGGATTTGATCAACTAAGAGCAGGCTCATCTCAAGCATCACATTACATGCCACCACCAGGAGGAATTTTTTCTTCAACAACAGAACCCGCAATTCCAATACTTCGTTTATCAAACGAAATGGATTTAGACGGAAGCTTTAGCTACGAGTACGTATATCTTTACTAATATTGTAAATAAGTAATAAGTATATTAGTTTGTTAGATATAATCAGAAATTTTATATAATTGTTAAATTTATTAAATAAAATATATTTATTATTACTTTTCACTTATATACTATGTATAATCAAATATTATCAAAACATATAGCTCTATCTACATTAATTATGATTATAAAATTTATTCTATGTTAAGTATACATCTAGGATAATAATCTATCTGTGTATCAAATTTCTTTTAAAACTTTTACATCATCGAAATACAATATTGGATGATGTATATGATAAGATACAAGTATCTAAATATCTTTACACAACTCGCACTTTGTAATATTAGTAAGAAGTAGTATAAAAAGTTTTATTGACAAAAAATATACAATATACCTATTTATTTCAGAGCTTTAGGAGCAGACCAGACACACTATGTACAACATAGTCATATGGAGAATTCTGGCACTGATAAAGAGGAACAAGTAGTTGAAGGATCCTATTCTTACGTCGGAGACAATGGTCAAACATATACAGTACATTACATAGCTGATTCTAATGGATTCAGAGCTAGTGGAGATCATTTACCAATAGCACCACCGATACCGGAGATTATTCAAAGGTATTATTACTTTATTTAAAGATTACAGTAAAAGCTTCATATAATTTCTAAAGTTCTAACTCTAAAATTTGTTTTGTAATATTTAAGTTATTAAAAAAAATTATTTGCAGATCAATTCAGTATAATTTAGCAGAGGAAGCAAAGAAACCACCACACTTGAAATCTTGGCAACAAGATAGTCAAGAGCACGACATAAACGATATAAAAGATTCAAGTCAACGGTTTTCAATACCACCACCGCCACGAAATCTTTTTACGGGACGAACACCAGAAGCATTCTCTAATAATTTTTCTCAAAGATCAAATTCACAAAATAATCTAATAACAGCTGCTAGTTCACAACATACAGTTCAAGCTGTTCCTGAATTTACTGTCGATCAAAATAAGGGTAACCAACGTAACGCACCAATTGTGCCACAAGTTACTTTCCTTGCTTCACAAGGAGCTCATGTACCTTCAGCTAACTCAGGCCACCAACAAATGTCCAGAATCTTTACACCTGAGAAAACTAATATGCCTCAACTGATAAACTATGATGCTGCATTTAAAGACGTTGAACAAGATAGTAATAAAGCTTTATGGAGATGGCAATATGGATTAAATTCACAAAATGTAAATCAGACTCCAGAAAAAAATAGTATTTCTAGATCGTTTGGCGAAGGTGACGATATAGTAATTAACTTTAATGACATGTCACCAGAACAGTATTCTAAAATGATTCACTCAGATGAACGTTCTACTTCAAAAGAAAATACTGGCACACCAAATATTATCAGTAATGATGATTATATTGAAAAAAAAATCAATGATCACAATGATCAAAATAAGTATGATTACGTTTCCAGTTCACATAGTGTATCTACAGAAAATACAGTAACTTTATTATCGCCAATAGATGAGTATAAACTAAATCAGCCAAATATTCATAACCCACATTTTAAAGAATCAAATGTTAATTTTTTTGGAATCCAAAATCCGGATAACAAATTGCAAGATAGCAATTCTAAGCAAAATATAATTAACCGCAATAGTTTTATTCCACCTAGCCAAGTGGTAACGCAGACATATTATTATGAAGATAGTTCATATGAGCCGAGAAAAGTTAAATCTTTTATTACAAGTACTACTACAAAACCTAACTGGAATTATATAGATAACATAGCCATTAATAATGATTATAATAAGTTTTCATCCAACAAAGATTGGTCAAACAGTAATGTTTTCGAGGTTGAAGTATCATCAACGAATACATCGCCAGTAATTGGCAATGCAAATACTTTGAAATTTTCAGACTTCATAATACAAAGTAATACAACTAATTCTATGCCGGTAATAGAAAGTAGCAAAGAAGATTTAGAACCAAATATAACTACAAATACACACATAAGTGCAGAAAACATTTTAAATGACAATATTTTTCTGAACAAATTTGTTAATTATAAAAAAGAAGAACCAATGAAAAAGAATATAATTAGTGATGAGTCTAATAAACAACAATACCTCAAAACTCCCAAAAGTCCTAA